TTCTACATTGAGCCTTTGGGACTAGCCACAGCTCCTGAATCCTCAGCAAGCCAATCCTGAGCCCACAAGATGGGGAGAGACATCCTGAACTAGAGACACTGCTCAGGGAAAAACCACCCACCTCCCCCTGCCTGCCCCCAGCGAGGCCGTATCACAAATCACACCCAGAACTCTCTCCTTTCTCATCTCTGCCTCTTTCCTCACTCCCCTGACTTCTTTCAAGTCCCAGCCAAAATCCCACCTTCTGTAAGACGCCTTTCCCAATCCTCCTTAGTGCCAGTGCTTTCCTTCTGTTGATTACCCTCAGTTTATCTCGTATATATCATGGCTGTACACAGCTGTTCCTGTGTTGTGTCTCCCATTAGACTGTAAGCTCTTGAGGGCAGGCACTTTTTACCTTTCTTTGCACACCCAATGCTTAGAGCACTGCCTGGCACATTAATAAATGCTTGCTAACTGACTGACAACCCCAAGTCTTAGGACAGAGAGGGTCACACCATTCTTTACCTAAACCCTACGGCCCCTCGCCAGCTCCCAGTGCCATCAGAGTCCCAGACCATCGGAGAAGGAACATCAGGGGCTCCAGGGCAGCTAGCTAGCACATGGATAGAGCGCCTGGCCTGGAGTCAGGAAGACTCATCTTCTCAAGTTCAAATCTGGCCTCAGATGCTTATTTGCTATGTGACCTTGGGTAAGTCACTTAACCCTGTTTGCCTCAGTTTCCTCATCTATAAAATGAGCTGGAGAAGGAAATGGCAAACCACTCCTGTATCTTTGCCAAGAAAAACCCGTTTGAGGTCACAAAGAGTCAGACATGACTGAAACTACTTAACAACAACAACAATAACATTAGGGGCTCAGAAAGTGGTTTACCAGGGCCCTGCTCCTTGCTGGCCCTGGCTGCCTGACAGACAAGGTAGCTCTTTCGCTCAGCTTAATAACAGTCTGGTAATTAGCTCCACAATTTTGCTCCTATACTTATAATAGCCTCCATTAAAGTTATGGGGTTTTCAAGCAGTAATGGTTTCCAAAGTAATTAATACACAACTGGGTTTATTGCTAAGTTTATTTTTAGAACTATTCTCTCTCTCTACTTCCTTTTATAAGTTGCTTTGGCCAAAAAGAACAGATTGGATGTGAATCATCTCTCCGTGACCTCCTCATACCCCCTGCTTCTCCTCACCCCCTCCCTGTGCCTGCTGGCCTTTTAACACTTACACGTCCTTTCCTCTCCCTCCCTGGTCCACACGTGGAAGCAATCAGGCCCTGGATTTGCTCTGAGTTTTGAGGATGGATCACAGGCTCTTGGCCCCAGAGCTAGATTTCAGAAGTTATCTGATGCCCCATTTCTCAACTAAAGAAACTGAGACCCAGAAAAATGATGTGATTCATCTAAGGTCCCACAGGTAGTAAGTGGTAAAGACAAGATTTGGGCCAGTTACTATGATTCTAAATCTGGTATTCCTTTCACTCGACTAGGTTTTTAAAGGGTTTCTGGGGTGAGGTCTGGAAGTCTCACACACACACACACACACACACACACACACACACACACACACACACACACACACACCATTGATCTTTTAACCTCCAGGTACTAATGTAACATCTAGAGGTTCTGCAAGATCAGGGTGTGGACGTGACTGGGAGGCTGGTGTGGGGCTTAGGACTGGGCTGTGTGGAATTATAAGGGCTCAGGCCAAAAAGGTGTTTCTTCCCTTAAAATTAATTCGATAAATAAATGAATAAACAAACTATGGATAGTGTGGGTTCCTAGCGCCATTTTTAGGCATGCTTATTGTTGGCTATCGGTACTAGAAAAGACCCAGTGGTGGTCTCTAATGTGACGGTCATCCATATGTCTCTGGGTTTTCTGCTGCCCGTAACTGACAAAACTTTGAGTGCAGTCCAGAAGTCAATAGCCCTTTTGTCTACCTCTCCCCTTTTGTTCTGGTCTTTCCTCTTTTCCACCCTTCCTTCCTAGGGCTGGTAGCAGTTACTGAGTTCATACAATCAATCAGCCAGTATTTATTAAGCACCTACTGTGTGCCAGGCACCCAAAATATAAACAACCCCAGCTCACCAGAAGCTTACATTTTAATGAGATCAATCCTT